GTTACACCCGGCTATGATCCATCTGTCACGGCCGCCGCCACCTCCACCCGTGTCGGCGGGGTCATGATCAGCTGCGTCGCGCCCACCACGGTCGGTGCCACGAGCGCGATCAGTAGCCCTGTCCGCCCTATCATTGGCAGCGGTATCACGGCCGTCACCGGCTGCTCCGTGACCTCCAAAGGTGCCCCTTGAATGTCCGTGTCCGCCCGTCCCACCGTGGGCATAGGAGCCACCATGGGCGGCACCTAACCGGCCGGCGACGTGGTCACACTAGCGCCGCTCCCGCCCAAAATAGGCACGACACCAGCCGATGTCCGCTGCCCTCATTGGAGGGCGATGCTCTTCTTCGGCGCCAGCGCCAAAGAATTCCGCTGCCTGCTGATGCTGCAAGGGACGAAAAACATAAGTCACGATGAAATCTAACTAAAACAGGAAAAACAGAGGAATTGATAACTCACCTCAGCGCCATCGGGCGGCAGATACATTTAGGGGACGAGCCCACCGACCTTTGCTCCGCCTCATCAGAATGAGGCCGTTTCAAGCCTGCCCCTGCTCTTGGGCAGAGGGGCTCGCCCCTGGTAGCTCCTAGGGCACATTGGTGGAACGCCCTGCTCCCCTTGGCTCTTGGGGCGCGACGATGGAGTCGCCTACCTCTGTTGGCTCCTAGGGTAGGACGACGGTACATCCTGCGTTCGTTGGTTACTGGGGGTGTCGTCGGAATGGCCTGCCTCCGCCGGCTCCCCAGACGTACCCTCCTCTCCATGGAACGGGAAGGGTCCCGACGCCTGCAAGGACGAACCGATGCCTATCAGCGCATCCTCATTCTCTAGGTTATCCCACTCGATATCATCGGTTACCATTTCTTCTTCCTCCATCACCCCATCGTTGTCACCATCATCATCGTCATCATCATTGTCAGTGTCCTCCCCTTATTCCCGCGCCTGTAGCTTCCACTGCTTTTTCCTCTTCTTGTCCTCCTTCGCCTTCCTCAGCCACTCGCCCTCGGCGCGATTCGCTGCCCTCATGGCCAAATCCCTCGGCAGCGGTGCCGGGTGATCCATGAGGATGAGGTCCCTCAGTTGGTCCCGCCCCTCTTAAAGTTAGTCTCACGGGGTCAGGAAATCAATTGAAGAGAAGGCAAGAGAAAGGGAAACTTACGAAGACAACGTAGCCTGGCTTCGGCCACATCGGAGGATGCCCCGGCACCAGGTAGATGAAGTCGAGGGCGGCACCCGCATTGTCCCACAAAGGCTCCATCGCCTCCTTGATGCGTTGCGCGATCTCAGAGTTGGGGAGTGTTCCCTCGGCGAGCACCGTTCCATCGAACAATGCCTCAGGCACCATTGTGTATAGCGGGAGCACACGCGTCATCAACGGTGCCACCCTCCTCACGTGGTAAGCCCCGATGACGCCTGACCCTTTCAGGCCATTCTCCTTTAGGATGTGGATGGCGGCGATGTGGTTTTGGATCTTCTTATTGTCCTTCTCCAGGACGCCCCACTTCCTCCACTGCTCCGGGGCCTCTTCGATCAGGTGCCCGGTGAACTCTGGTAGAGGGGGGGCGGCGTCATTCTTGAGATAGAACCACTGCGAGTGCCACCCCTTGTTAGACATCGAGAGCCACATGGACGGATACTCGCCAACCCAATTGTTTCGAAGTTGGATGCCGTCACACCCCATCGGCATGTGTAGCTCCTACCTGCCGCCCTTCTCCCTCTTCTTCTAGAGGTTGACGGCGAAGAAATACCTCCACAAGTCAAAGTGGGGCTGATCCCTAGGAATCCTTCGCACAACGCGACAAACGCTACCATGTGCTGGATCCCGTTAGGATTGAGATGTTGCAGCTCAATCTTGTAGAAGTGCAGCATCCCTCGGAGGAATTTATGGGTGGGGGTCGCGAGCCCACGCTCGTGGAAGTGGGTAAACGACACCACATAGCCATTGGGCGGCGATGGCGAATACTCATCACCGGGCAACAACCACTCCCCGGCCGAGGTCCACGCACGGAGAAGACCGCGATGGACGAGGCCCTCCATGTGTTGGAAGGTGATATCGGAACGGCACCATGGATCCATTGGAGGTGGGGACAGATGGATGCGAGCTCAACAGCGGTAGAGATGCGGAGGCAGGAAACCTAAGCGTTGGCGGCAGCGGCGTGACTATAGAGGTAAGGATGCAGGCATGCATATAAAACACAGAGGGCTAACCCTTTGGTTTTATAGGGGCAACGGGTGCGAGGAAACCAACCGCCCGTCTAGATCTCCATGCCTACCACGACCTGTCACCACATCTCGTCATGGGCATGCGCACACAACCTATGGTCGTCCCCTAGGAAAATGTGCCAGACATTTCACCTCCCCGAACGGGCCTTGACCCACCACAGGTAAGAGGGATATGGAGCTAAAAACGCTCCTATGGCCCGTCTAGGCCCAGGAGTTTGAAGGTTGGCCCATCGACGGGTTCGACAACCGCTCTGGGCACCTTTAGAGTGAAGGGTGGAAAGGGATGGGCCCGCTAGCGGCCCGTACCCGGGCGCACAAGCGCCGTGAGCATCTTGGCCCACGTTTGAGTCTTGGCCGGATACGATCCAAGGTTTTTCCTCGAAGAAAGGCAGAGAGCCCTCGGGACCGGTCGAACGGACCCAAGAACTATATGGATTGACCGCTAAGAATCTGGAGTCGGTCACCAGCTGACCCAAGCCGGACCCCTGCGAATGGGATGCCGGGGCCCCACTCGGACTAGCCCGTTAACAGCTCATCGAACACCATGATTCATCCATAGAGGAAAATCATTGCATGGCTCAGCCCCTCCGTTTTTATCGAAAAAAAACCCTTGAGGGAAGACGATCACGAAGACAAGTTGATCCTCGACCGGACCCCTGCTATGGGCGGGGGCTCGAGGAAAGTTGGACTCGCAAGGAGACCGAACACGTGGTCGTAGAACGACAGACCCCCATAGGGGTCAAAATCAGGAAAGACCTTTTTCGACCCACCAAATCTCATGGCTATACCCCCGAGGGGTCCGATCACGACAAAAGGGAATGTCGTCCCTAGGACACACCGTGGGCGACAAAAGAAGGCCAAGGCCCTTAGAGTCTTTTTGTTCGGAAAAGCCTCCGAAGGAGTATTCTACTCCTCCATAGGCTAGGGGGCTACTATCGAGGACCAATACTAGGGTACCCGAAGAGGAGGAACTAATGGACATCAACATCGACTCATCCGAGCAGTGAAGAGCGCGACTATAGCTCCAACCAATCCCCAGGTGTGCGGGCTCCGCCTCGCCTGACCTCTGGGGGCGGGCTCCGCCTCACCCAACCCCGAGGCTGTGGTGCTCCGCCTCGCCCGACCCTAAGGCCGCGGGCTCTGTCTCGCTCGACCCCTCGGGTGCGGGCTCCGTCTCTCCCGACGGGGACCAATACCACCGCCAACCACTCTAGGTCCAAGCATATGGGCCCTGGTCAAAACTCTGACACCAAGGAAGAGACCAGCATGCCCCGATGTAACCCGTGGCCATAATAGGCCATACCTGAGGATTCACATCAAGAACAACGTCGGGCGTGCCGGTGTTGTTCTGCCTAACCCTTGTACGAACGCTGACAGGCGAGTCAGTTCACCATGACGCCCGTCGGGATGGAATGGGACGCCTTGACCGGCAAATGATGCCCGCGTATGGCGCCAGTGATGAACAGGGTCTGCGATGTGGAGCCACCCCTGTTGACATCTACAGGGTCGATGGGACCCGCATGAAGGAGAAGAAGGACCCAGTGACCCTAGAAGCCTTCCTCTCTCTCGTTCTTCTCCTTTTCCTAAGCTGTAACTCACGCTTTCCCTTGGCCTATAAAAGGGAAGCAGGGCTCCCCATGAGGGAGGAGGCTAGATCTGCACGAAGCCATACCGCGAGATAAACACGCACGAGCACAAAGCTGAGCAGCGGTCGAGCTCTTAGCACCCATTTATTCTTTCCACCAGAGACTTGAGATCATTTCCTTCTCTCGTCCATTTGTAACCCCTACTTACAAACGTTCAGTGCTAGTAACACGAGCAGCAGCAACGACGAACTGGGCGTAGGGACTTTCTGCCGAAACCAGTATAAACCTCGTGTCCTCTAAGCACACCATCTGAGCCAGACGCGCAATATTAGAAATTTACTCGTCGGTGGTAACTCAAAACACCGATAGGTAGGTTCTTGCGGCGCCTCGTGTGGTGGGCTAGGTGTGTGATACCTATTAGCCGCCGAACCACCAAGTGTTGGTCGACACAACGAGGACTTGCGTGCTGGCATGCACGTGACCTCGGGAGAAAAATCATGTGTCATTCTTGTGATTGGATTTCTCCGAGTGATTCGTTGTCATCATATTGTGATTGGTTCATTCCTCTACACGACGATATAATCACCCTACTCATTCCAATACTTTTTGCAAACTAGTTGTAGCGAGCTCTTTAGTGTAACTAGTTTTGAGAGCTTGCTTTGTAGCTTAGTTTCATCTAGTGGAGCTCTTTAGTGTAGCCTTGTTGAAAGCTCTTAGTAAGTAGTGACCTAGCTCTTGATTGTGCTTAGTGATCATAGCAACTAAAATTGTTAAAATAGATGGCTTGCAACCCTTGTAGAGTTAGAGCAAATTGTATTACGCCGTTTGTTATATTAATCAATTGCTCTAGTGAATTTGTAGAGTTTTAAATAGGTTATTCACCTCTCCTCTAGCCATATTAGGACCTTTCAAACTCCTTGGCTCCTTTCTCCTTGATGGAAACAGCGGCGGTGGCGGAGACGAGTGGCACGGTCGTGGAGCAAGCGGGCGCGACGGAGTTGGTGGAGGCGGCGGGAACGGGTTGCACGGGCGTGAAGCAGGCGAACGCGACGGAGTTGGAGGTGAGGCCGCTGTCGATGTGGATCTGGTCAGTGGACACGAGCCTAGCGAAGACGACGTCGGTGGAGAGGTCGCGGTCCTCCACGGTGTGGGCAGGCTGTTCGAACAGCCCTCCCTAGTTGTCCGGAACCACCTCGGCCTTGAGTTGCACCACGGGGATTAGCTTGGGTGCGACGCCACGGAGCTCGACGGTGGCAGGCCGCTGCTCGTAGACACACTTCTCCATGATGCGGGCAGGCTCCTCGAACCACCTGCCCCAGTTGTCGGCCACGATGTGCTGCGTCGCACCGAACTGCTTGAGGCCGCCGACGCAGAGCTCCTCGACAGCAACCCGCGGCTCCTTCATCGGCGGAGAGAAGCGCCGCTCCCATCGAGCCTCGAGTTCGTCAAGCTTCCCGTTGAACTCGTCGAAGAAAAGCTTGAGAGAGGGATTCATGGTGGAGTACCAAAATCCATGGCTCCGGTACCAGATGTTAGCAACCCCAACTGGATTGACTAACAGATAGCTTGATTCAGTGGAAGCAAGTTCTAGAAGGTACTAGAAGGTAGAGAATCTAGGTACAGGAGAGGGAGACTTGAGGAAGAAGAACAGTAAACTAGTAAAGGTAAAAGAGATTCTGTTTGATAATTTGGTTGATGATACACTTCGCCGGATTGCTTGTGCCTTTGTACTCCGACTTCAGCCACCTGGGCAGGCTCGGGCCACGGCCCATAAGGCCCAACAATGGTTGGTCCCTGACATTTTCGTTGACAGATACTCCGTATGATCGTTGATCAGTTACCACTGGGGAGCTCCTAAGAGTCAGCATCTTGCTTCCTGTTGCAGTCTTGCAGAAGAAATAAACATCTGCTTAGGTTATACCCATAAATTGGATAATCAGCCAAGCGCAGAATCAAATCCAACACATACCTTAGGTTATTTCAACCTTTGATTTATAGGTTCTACAGATACTGTTTGACTTGATGCAAACATATATAATGACTGCATCTTATGCAAACATATATGTAACCTGATACAGTTCAATACAAGTTCGGCAGAGCTCCTGCCGACCATTTCAAAAAAAAAAAACTGATACAGTAGTGCAACTACTAATAAAGGAGCAAGTGCACAGTTCAAAGTTCATAAGCTGGAAACTTAGACTCGAGGGGGTTAATCATGTCTAGAAACAGATATGCCATTCCAGCTTATCCTTCAAATGGTGAGTATGGCTCATCGCCACCGTGCATGATGCCTTGTCCAATTAACTTGTTGCTCGGTCAAGGAGAAAACAAGCAAAAGCTTTAGCACGGTAGAGGTACTTCTTTTTCTTCGTAAGGCGATAAAGTGAGAGAAATGCATAGGCATTCCCGCTTATTCCATGACATATCCCTACTCTTTTCAGAAGCCCTCGATTCCAAATTACCTCAGCTGCATTTGAGGTTGTGTCCAAAAACCTCTCTTCTGGGAACACCTGAGAACAGTATTTTGATACAAAACTAAAGTTGCAAAGATTAAAGAGCAGAAACACAAATAAAGGCTTGAGCTGATTTAACATCATAAGAAGAACCAAGGTGAGGGAAATGCCAGGAGCCCCATGGCACCAGTGCACAAGGCAATCATAGTTATCTCCTTCGGTGCAAGGGTAATTCCCACTAGGGAAACGGTTCTGAATCATGTATTGCAAAGTTCCCTTGACATATTCCTTGTCATTTTCTGTCAACTCCATGTCCAGCAAAACATGCATAATCCCTACAAGCCAATGAGCAGCACCCCAATACTTTACACCATACCATTCATACATCAATGGGCAGCTTTTGGTAGATAACCTTCTACCATCTATCTTTGATAATCTCTCTCACGATCATATCCTGTAAAATCTCACTTCGATAAATCATCAACTCGCTCCAATAGAAACGAAAGATGTTCAACAAACCTATTTACTATTTGAATGCATACTTACTGTGGTCCTTGATGATATCGTGTTCTCAGTTTCTCACCAAGGTGCTTGTTTAGGAAGGAGCAGGTCCACGAATATCCAGCTTTCCCATATAAGAGTTCGTCAGGGAATTACTAGAAATTTTGATCTATTTTAGGGGAATCAAGTTATTGGCAGAATGGCAGAGAAACGTATGATGTGCTTCAAAATGTATGATAACATTTCAGGCTTATAAAACATAAGCTGAGAAGCCTACTGCTATAAGTTCTAAATAGCCATAGACAGACCAATAGGTGTTGAAGTATGGTGAAACGAAGATAAATCATTTTTTCATGGCTTCTCTTCATATGATGACTTTGCCATACTTTTATGGAAGTAGTAAAAACTGTTGTTTTGTGGCAACAAAATACTTATCCTACAGTAAATCTTTGGCACTTTTTTTTCGCGACCTTGCCACTAGTAGGCACGTATTTCATTAAGAGGAAATAGGAGTACCCTGTGCCCAGCGTATTTCCGCTCAAAATGAGTGGGAATAGGGAGGGAGGCTCCCGGTTAAAAAAAGAGGAAATATGAGTACATTACAAATTACTCACTCATTGGTAAGCGTCGAGCTTACCAGAGAGGGAGAACCAAAAACACAAAAAAGAAAGAAGAACAACTAAAACAAGAACTGAGAACGAAAAAACAGCAAGCCAACAACGCGCTCGGCCACACAACCCGCACATAAAGCAACGGAACAGGTCCTGAGACGACAGGAAGAGGCAACTTGCGACAACAGAAGGCTATGTTGCCTCCTTAACGCGTCTATGGCAAAAGCCCATCAACCTCTGGGACGAAGTCATCCAGGAATGCGTCGTCCTGGAAAAGGACCTTGAAAGCCTCGTGCTTGGACTCCGATAACGGCTCAGCAAAGATGGACTCAAGCTTCTCTGCAATGTTGCCAGGGTTGTTGGAAGAATTCACAAGCCCCCACTTGGCCAAAAGAACTTGCTGCGCCTGAAGAGTTGGGTTGGGCGCCCGAGGTTTAGCCGCTAATCGAGTGCTCCTCCTCGGCGTATCGACGTTGGGTTGGGCCCGAGGCACCCTGAGGGTGGGTCTTCCTTGAAGCACAGGAGTTTGGAGAGGCAAGCAGACTCGATCCTGGATCATATCAATGACTGAACACTGCTGGACATCTAGAACTCCTTACCCAGGGCAAGGCCTAGACGCCTCAAGGGATTTCGCAGGAGACCCATCCAACACGTCAGCATGTGCTGCATATGTCGTCAGCTTCGGCAGTGCAGACGGAGGTGAGCATGGTTGTGCTGCGTCGTCGTCCGAAGAAGAGCTGGGAGGTGGCCATTCGGTCACACAGGCCTCCACCTCAACCGGCATGGGATCGAAGGCCCGGTGCGGAACCTCCAAGCAATGGTCCACCATGACAAGCGGCTCTGAGTGCATTGCGCCCATCTGCACTGTGCATTCCTGCAAAGCGCCGGTCATGCCCCACTCACAAGACATGGGGTCCCAAGGGATTTCGGCCAACTGAAGCCTAGACACGACCAAGGCCTCAAGATCTTGTCCAGGGGCGATCATCGACGAGCGGCCGCCGTGCTGCAAGGGCTCCTTCTGCCCCTACCACCCGACCGCTAGCACGCGACGACGAGCTGGGTCCTCACGGATTTCGAATCCCGCCAATGGGCATTCGAAGGATCCCACCAAGACGGAAGCGTGTGGACTAGACGATAGAGGGCGGCCCTCGGCCGCGGCAACAGTCTCCACTGCCCTAGAGCCACCGTTGGCAGACGTGCGCCATCGCTTGTAGTCGCGTGCGACGTGTCGAAAACCGTGGCAGCGCAGGTAACGTTGGGGCAGTAAGCAGGTAGCCACGTGGTGGGAGGAAGAAAGGTAGTTAAGGCACTTGCCGTGCAGGGCCTCCGGGATGCGCCTCGGCGGTTGGCATCTCGACAACCGCACCTCCACCGGCTTTGAGGTGTTGTGACCAGTCCGCATCATGCTCGGCAACACGCCGCGCCAACCATCCGCATCTGGAGCAGAGAATCAGCGCCGGTGCCTTGCGGGAACACGAGGCCCGAGCCTCTGGTGAGCCGACACGCGTTTGGCACCACCGCTCTAGACCTGGCCTGTAGTTCCAGGGTGAGAGAGCGAGCTCCTCCAACGACAACGGCGCCGCCTTTGAAGCCCAACGACCTTGCCGCCACGGCGTTCGACGACCTCCACGCTGTCGGAGCACAACCTCGCCCACATCGGCGGCGGTCGGCGTTCGGCAACAGAGAGAGGCTTCCTCGTCGGACTCGTCAAAGAAGTAGTCCTCCATGTTAGGTTGATCTCTAATCCCAAACTAGGCCCAACGGCTCAGTTGGGCCTTTGGTCCACGCCGTGATCGGGGGCGCCCAGCCCACTATGGCTGGAGGGCCCCTATCACACTGCGCAATAAATAGAGGTGGGGGCCGGCGGCTCAAGTCACGAGGTTTGCCTGAGCCGAGCTCCTCACCGACAAACCTTAATCCGATCTAGAGGGCGCGCAGCCAGTGACGGGAAGCCACCAGCCGCGCCGCCACCGGACTCCACTACCTCCACCGTCGGTCGCCACCGCGCATCACCGACGCCGTCTTCACCGACCGTCGCTGCCCTAGCGCAGACACCGACTCCATGGCGGACGCGAGCGGATCCTCCTCCACTGCTGTATCAGGTTTGACACGTCCATCTTCTACCCCTCCCTTTTCTCTCGTTCTACCTACTATTACTGCACTAGTAGATGTTCTAGGATTCATGATTCTATTCAACAGCAAGAACCCGACTAGATCTATGCTCTTAGTGATCCTATAGGTATAAAGGCGCGTGCAGCCACAGCACTTTGCCGGCCCAGGCCCACGTTGCGGCCTGGGTGCGGCCGAGCGCCGTGCAGAGCAGTGGGCCGAGCCGGTTTTGGCCGGTTTGGGCTGAGAAAGGAGGGCGAGAGCCCGGTTTCGCATTTTTCTTTTTCCAGAAAATTTGAAAAATGGAAATTGGCTCAAAAGAAAATAGAAAAAGTATTTTTTTCCTGTGGGTAAAATTTAAGAAAATGAGTTCATTTTTTCCGCTGCGTATTTTAAAGTTGTTCTTTTCATTATTAAATTCGAACCAACAGGAGAATTTAATTTTGAAAAAATGGATATGTTTTTAGCTTATTATAATATTGTTGTTATTCTGACCAATGTTGATTAATGGCAATATTATGATGAGTTTTGTCATGCATTAATTTTATTTCTGCCCAACGGTGATGTAGAATTAGTGTAGAGGACAATTGTATGTTTTAATTTTGACCAACTTTAGAACTAAGGCATGCAATTATTATTATTATTATTTATGTTCTCACTCAATATGAATTGTGTTTTTAGACGGCTACAACTTAATGGGTTGTATCAAAGAGATCCCCACTCTCAAATGTGACAATTACACGGAGTGGAAGAAAAAGATAGACCTGACCTTCAACTTGGCTGAGGTGGATTGGGTAGTCACCTCACAGTGTTCCACTGAGCCTGTGGCACCGGTGAGGGAGATAAACAAGGCAGATGTCGCTTGGGCAACCAGAGAGAGGGATTTTGAATCCCAAAAGATGTCCTATCACCTTGAGCATAGGAAGTGGGTCACTGCCAACAAGAAATGTATGGCTGTGATAAAGAACACGATTGAGCCTGTAATTGTGGGCTCAATCCCAGAGTGTGACACCGTCACTGAGTACCTCGATAGAATAAAGAGTCAGTTCACTAGCTCTTCAAAGACATATGCTACCCAACTGATAAAGCAGCTGGTGACAGAGAGGTACTCTGAAAATGATGGCATAAGAGAGCACATACTAAGGATGAGCAATTTGGCATCCAAGCTGAAACCAATGAATCTGGCTCTTAAGGAAGAGTTTCTTATCCATCTGATTTTTGCTTCTTTGCCAAAGGAATTTGACACTTTTGTTGTCAATTACAACATACAGCCCAAGAAATTATACTTAGAGAGGCTCATGGCTATGTGTGTGTAAGAGGAGGAGAGAATGAAAGCTGCCAATTGTGGCACTATCAATTATGTGAAAGACAACAAGAAAAAGAATAATAATGCTAACTCCTCCTCAAAGCCAAAGGGAAAGGGTCCCATGCTGCATCAGCCTCAGCAGAACAAGTTCACAGTAGAGAAAGACCAGTGTCTCTATTGTAAGAAGACGGGACATTATAAAAAGATTGTCCCGATTACTTAAAGATGATCATGGCAAAGAAAGGTGAGAACATTATTACATTCATAAATGAATCCTTGTATGTACAATATTTGAAATCTACTTGGTGGATTGACTCAGGTGCAACTGTTCATGTTGCTAATTCTTTACAGGGATTCTGTTCGATGAGGACTACACAAAGAAGAGAAAGACACGTTAAAACTTCAAATGGAGTCCGAGCAGATGTCAAAGCTTCACACTTTTACTTAGAGATGTTCTTTATGTTCCCTCTTTACAGAGAAACTTGATTAGTGTTTCATGCTTGGACAATGATGGATATGATTGCCATTTTGAAAATAGCAAATGTAAGATAACATTTCATAATGCATGTGTTGGTATTGCTATCTTACAAAATGAGCTTTATTTGTTATCACTACGTGATGAAGTGAATGTTGTATGTGATGATGGGAACGTTGCGTGCAACAATGAGAATGTATCCTTATCTGCGGATGTAAATAGAAAACGAAAGAGAGCTCACGATGCGTTGTCGAAATTAAGGCACTGTCGTTTAAGCCATATTTTGAGGAGGAGAATAGAAAGACTAGTT